AGCAGGATGTTAAACGCTGCAGAGCTGCTTCTGTGTGAGCGACGAGGGCGGCGTCATCAGCATAAAGCAGCTCCTGGACAAGATGGTTTAAGGTCTTGGTGTGGGCCTTCAGTCGCCTTAGGTTGAAAGGGCTTCCATCAGTATGGTATCGGATGTAGATCCCGTCCTGATCAAGACGTCACGTGTGTTACATATTCATGACCCACCGGCAGTGGTTGGTGCTCTCTGTAAATCGCGGGACACGCCCCTGGCCCTGCGCACTTCTCTCTGCTGCTCGTCTCGGTGGTCGCGGGGGGTGAAGGCTCAACGTCTTCCTCTCTCGGAGCGTGCGCAGTCGCTCAGCGCCTTCCCCTGGCGACGGCTCCTCATTGGCTGCCCGTCCGTCCGCTCGGTGTCCCATTGGCTGCTCATTGGCTACATTTGCTCCATCGCACCCTCCCATTGGCTGCCCCTTCGCGCCCCCGCGCAGCTTTCCCATTGGCTGCCCCTGGGCAGCTCCCCATTGGCTGCTCACCGGCAACCCGGCTGTTCCCTGAGCAACAGCCCCGCCCCTTCCCATGGCACTGATTGACCTGTGCCGATTGCAGGCACCTTCACACCCTCCCCAGCACCCGCAGCTGAACAGTCTCCCTTATCAACAGCAGGGCAACATTTTCCCAATAGCGACTGGACATTTTCCCTTCTCATCCTGGGGCCGGGAATGGGGTGCAGAGGGGTCCTCGTGTCTGGGAATGGGGGTTCAGGGGGTCCCAGTGCTGGATGAGGTGGGTCAGGGGGGTCCTGGTGCCCAGGAATAGGGATTCAGGGGGGTCCTGGTACCAGGTATGGGGGTATGGGGGGTCCCTGTGCCCGCAAATGGAGATTCAGGGGGGTCCCAGTGCCCAGAAATGGGAGTTCAGGGGGGCTCCCCTTCCCAGGAATGGGGGTTTCAGGGGGTCCCTGTGCCCAGGAATGGGGGCATAGGGGGTTCCAGAGGCTGGATAAGGGAGTGTAGGCAGGTCCCCGTGCCAGGGAAGGGCTGCAGAGGAGTCCCCTTCCCGGGAATGGGGATTCAGAGGGTCTCCCCTTCCTGGGAATGGGGGTTCTGGGGGTGCCGGTGCCGGATAACGGGGTTTAAGTGAGTCCCAATGCTGGGGGAGGAGGTGCAGGGGGTTCCTCATGCCCAGGAATGGGGGTTCAGGGCAGTACCAGTTAGAGAATGGGGGCTCAGGGGGGTTCTGGTGCCCAGGGAAGGGTGTTCAGGGGGGTCCCAGGGATGGATAAGGGGGTGCAGGGAGGTCTTTGTGCCAGGGAAGGGGTGCAGGAGAGTTCTCTTCCTGAGAATGGCAGTTCAGAGGGGTCCTGGTGCCCAGGAATGGGGGTTCAGGAGGTGCCGGTTCCAGGGGGTCCCACTGACCCTTCATTGCCCCCCCGGGTCCCCCAGGAGCCCCAGGAGCCCCCCCAGCCCCAGCGCTGGAGCCATCGCGCTGCTCCGCTGCCTTTGGGGAACATCCCTCCTTCAACCTGTCCTGCTTTGGTCACAGGCCTGGAAAAAGTTTCTTCTTCTGGAATGCTTCCCAGCCCTGGGGGCTGGCCAAGATACTCCTTCCTATCAGTGCTGCTCAGGCCCACATGGTTTAGTCTCAGGACTAAGATATCCACCTGAACGCAGCCGTGGGTGGATCCAGGACTCAGCCCTGCCTGGTACAGCTGAAGGAATTCACAAGACTTAAACTCTATTTGTTGAAATTAAAGATTTTCCCAACATTTTCCCCCTTGTTGAAATTTTCAGCAAGTCTCACTGATGAGCTTTATAACGCTTTGGGTTACAAACATCGGTACAACAGTTCATAGAAATGCAGGAAAGACAATAATCACTGTCCTCACAGTCACTGGAATTCGTTTCACCCATGGAGAGGGGTCTGGAAATGAGGATGATCTTTCCCAACAACTGCCCAGATCCTCAGGAAGTATCCTCCTTTTGTACTTCATGTAAGACTCTAACTTGTCCCCAAAAGGTCCAAATTAGTCCCTACAGTGCCTGAGCAGCACTGATAAGAAGGAGTATCTTGGCCAGCCCCCAGAGCTGGGAAGCATTCCAGAAGAAGAAACTGGTTTTTCAGGCCTGTGACCAAAGAAGGATAATTTGGAGAAGGGATGTTCCCCAAAGGGCCACCAGAGACCCTCAAGAGACCCCTACTCTGATGTAAATGAGTTCTGAGAACTGATTTCAAAGTGTCAGAGAATCTGTGGGAGTGTTTAGTACATATGCATGAGTTTGGGGAAGTGTAATGCACATGTATTAGTTACATCCACAGAAACCAGGGTGTGAGACAGCCCAGTGTGGGGGTGATGGGGTGATGGTGACCCCCCCCACCCCACACCTGGTGCTTAAAAAAATAAAACCACTTTCTAATCCTGACATTGCAGTGACAGAGAGTTTTATTCCCATTCAGTGACAGCCCCAGTTGCTCCCAGTATGATCCCTGTTGCCCCAGTTCTGGTCCCGAAGGGTCCCAGTCCTGGTCCCAGTGTATCCCAGTGTCCCAGTCCATCCCAGTCCATCCCAGTCCATCCCAGTCCGTCCCAGTCCGTCCCA